GCTGGACAGCCATAGTGCTGATCGCAATCAGGCTTCGCCAATCGTTATTGCAGTCAAGCGCACCCCTTAATGCCAAGAGTGACACATAAGCTGTGGCTGTATGCGAGCTTTCTCGTTGACACCTCTATTCTAAGAGATACTAGTTACTCGATTTAGATTATGATGGTACTGGAGCTTAGCAAGTGCAAGCGCTGGATGTCATGGGGCTAAATTTTTCTGCCCTTCAGGCAATTCGACTGACGTCCTTTCCTACATGTATCCCGCCCTCTAACCCATCCAAGGCTATGAGCCAACAATAGTAGTTCTGCAATAGGTTGCTTTAGTCTCTTCTTCGTCGATCAACCCTACCCCAAACCTCATCGGAGCTGGCTTTGCCTTTGGTTTCAGGAACCCGCCAGTAAATGAACGCTCCGGAAAGACAAGCCATAGCAGCAAAGACCCAATATATCCTGCCTCGATCCAGAGCCTGGTTCAAGACAGGGAAGAATTGCGCCACAATGAATGTCGCAGTCCAATTGGCCGCAAGCGCCCAGCTCTGTGCGGCGCCCACAGCCTCCGGACCAACCAGCTCAGACGCAAGGATGAACGGCACAGGCCCTACACCGACAGCAAAGCATGCCACAAACAGCAGCACAGCGATTGCAGACAAGGCTTTCTGGCTGGTGTAGATACCCAGAGCCAGGAGTAAGGAGTTTATCCCCATACCACTGATGCTAAGCAGAAGGCATTTCTTGCGTCCGATCTTGTCGGGCAAAGGAGTGCAGGCAAGTGTGATGACCAAGTTGATACCCGAGATGGCCACTGCCAGTAGGGCTGCGGTAGTAGGGAGGATGCTCTGTAGAAGCGAGACACTGTACATGATGATGCTATTGATCCCCGTGAATTGCTGGGCAATCATGACACCAACGACGGCAACAATGGCTGGCCGGTAATAAGGATCCGTGACGGCTCTGAGGATGGTGACTGGCGGCTGTTTCGGTGGCATATTGCTCGATGGTGGTGTCAGCAGCGACTGCTCTTCTCCCGAGCCATCTGCAGCATCACCGGAGGAGCTGGACCAGCTTTTGACCTCCTCTTCAATATCAGCATCCTTCCCGCGCAGACGCTGAAGTACCTTCCTAGCCAAGCTGCCCTTCTGATGCTCTGCAAGCCAGGTAGGACTCTCCGGAACCAGAAAGAGTCCCAGAAGCTGCAGAGTCCCGATGAAGCCGGCGACGGCAAGAACGACCCTCCATACACTTCCGTAACTTAAGAAGTACCCCAGCGTTTGTGTGAGCAAAATCCCAACGTTCGTCATGACTTGCGTGAAGGCGCCGAAGAAGCCCCTTGCGGCAGGAGGGGCTATTTCGGAAACATAAATTGGACCGACAACAATAGCAGCCCCGGACCCGACTCCCGATAGGAAGCGGCCAACGCTTAGCAACGGTATGTTGGATGCGAAGGTCTCAGCTACGGGACCCAAGATATGGAATATAGTCGTAGCGCGGAGAGTGAACAAGCGACCGTGTTTGGTGGATACTGGCCCTGCCAACAGAGCCCCGACTAGGCCGCCAAGGGTGTAAATTGATGATACCAGGCCGAACTGGGACGGGTTCATAGGGATGCATTGCGGAAGTGAAGCTGCACTTGCAGTGGAGTGAATGCTCTTTTGCTCGCAAGTGATCACCGCTTGAGGTGCGTTTAATTCAGCCTTGACAGGTACCAAAGTCAGCAAAGATAGTAAAAGATGAGATGGCCCCGATGCTTACCAGGTGATATCCGAATTGCAGCGGTCCTAGGGTGGTTACAAACACGAGATAGACCAAGTACGGCGTGACCCTACATCGGGTCGACTCCCCTGAAGCCATTCTATGGTTGGAAGTTGAAAGTGCAAGGATATTCTTCGTACAACAATCAATTCATCGACCAATGGAGACTTTCAAGTAGGTTTCGGTCCAGTCATCACCAATGTCAAAAAAGGAGGGTTGTTGCTGAGCGCCGAGCTGCGTGTAGATGACGTTGCGGCTAATCAGTATGCATCGGGAGAAGGAAAGTCCGTTGTCTTATCACCGACTCAGGGGGCCGGGATTAATAGAGAGTTTGCTACAGAGTACTCCGTAGCAATGTGGGCATTGAGGTACTCTGTAAGGAGCCAGAGTTATGTAATTTGACTATACAAGCAAGTAACTATGCGTAGTGGATGGTTACACATGCATACACGTATTGTTTGTTCTTGTTGGTGGTTGTTGTTATTGCTACTGTTGTTCTTATCATCCAGGGGATTGATGCTGTGCTGAGTCAGCCACAATCCCCTCCCCTCTCCCTCTCCACCTCCACCTCTCAATGCAGCCTCACTTGAATGGTCCGGTCTCTTGTCCTTTCTTACCACCAACCATTGTTGCTCATTTCTCAAATATACCTAGCCTACCTAATCATTGAAGCCCTTCCTGCAGGTCTTCTGCTCTTCTCATAGTGGTGGAGATCAGTGTCTCCGTATGCATGGTTCAGCTCACTGTCCTTGCCGACTGCGAATAGATACCGCGTACTCGACTTACTTACCTCCATCCAACAAGCTACTACTCTTCGTACTAACCAGTTCCAATCGAACCACACCACACCAATTTGTCTCCCGAGCATTCCCCCCTCTCACATCCACCTCTTTTTTTCTTCTTTTTTTTTCTCCTCTTCCTCTTCCTCTTCTTCCATGAGTCTGACGAACCCCCCTTCCTCATCCGGTCCTCTAAGTGCGACTTCCAGGCCTCCTGCGGCCACCGTCAGCCAAAGTCTGTCTCTAAAGAACTTGAAGAGTCTGCAGGCGACTGTTGATGGTAATACCCAGCTATAATTCATTATCCATTCACACTCGTACATACATAACCTACTACCTACTCCGTACTCCATACTTATACATTCTTACCCTATTTATTTTACTCCTTTCTGTGCTTCTCCACTGCTTCCAAGTTCCAACCCACCCTCCCTCCGTTAGCACCCCGTCTGTCTCCACCTTTTGCCACCACTCAGTTCTCCAAGCGCCCTTTCTACTTTCTTGACCTGGGCCCATCACCATCACGATGTCCACTGGTTGATGATTGAAGATTGTTAGTTCTAAGTTACTATTTCCTTGGTGACATCTTCAAATGTACCCGAGCTAGACTATAGGTCTCGAGCTTTCTGAACGGGTTTGAAACAAGAACTGTCTAGTGCCTCCATCATGTTTGGAAAGAGCTTTCCGTTCTATAATTCTGTCGCCGGGTTTTATCCACGTGGTAATTGCTGTCCCTTCGATCTCCGACCCTCTTGTTGCCGGCTACACGCTGCTGCTATACGCTATACGCTCAGTTGTTAAATTGTCTACCCCTCTGCCAGCAATCTCGGGTTGACTTGTTTTTTTTTTCTCTGTCCTCCAAGACCCTTCCTTACCCCTAAATTCCGATTGGCTGATGCGTTGTCACTGAGGATTACTGCTCCTTTGAGTGCTAACATAATTTTCTATATTTAGAAAGCACAGATTCGCGAAGGCCGCCAGGGACCGGTTACACCAGTAAAGTCCGAGTGCGAGATAGATACCACATTGTGGGTTTTATTAGCAGCGGTACGTATGGCCGAGTCTACAAGGCGATCGGCAAAAATGGCCAGAAGGGCGAGTTCGCCATCAAGAAGTAAGTAGATGCGGACGTCTTCACTTCCATCAAATCCATCGTCGCTGATTGACTACAGGTTCAAGCCGGACAAGGAAGGGGAGGTAGTGCAGTACACTGGTCTCTCGCAGTCCGCGATCCGAGAGATGGCTCTGTGCTCCGAGCTTGACCATCCCAATGTGGTGCAATTGGCAGAGATCATCCTGGAAGACAAGTGCATCTTCATGGTGTTCGAGTACACGGAACACGATCTCCTCCAGATCATCCACCACCACACGCAACCGCAGAGACATGCGATCCCAGCGGCGATGGTCAAGTCGATTCTGTTCCAGCTGCTGAACGGTCTCCTCTATCTCCACACCAACTGGGTACTGCATCGGGATCTCAAGCCAGCCAATATCCTGGTCACATCCAGCGGCGCCATCCGCATTGGGGATCTCGGTCTCGCCCGTCTCTTCTACAAACCCCTCAACTCCCTCTTCTCGGGCGACAAAGTGGTCGTCACCATCTGGTACCGTGCCCCCGAGCTTCTCATGGGAAGCCGACACTACACGCCCGCGGTGGATCTGTGGGCGGTGGGGTGCATCTTCGCGGAGCTCCTCTCGCTGCGGCCCATCTTCAAGGGCGAAGAGGCCAAGATGGACAGCAAGAAGACGGTGCCCTTCCAGCGCAACCAGATGATGAAGATCATGGAGATCATGGGCCTCCCGACCAAGGAGACCTGGCCGGGCATCGTCTCGATGCCGGAATATGCCCAGCTCCAGTCCCTGGCCGTGTCGCGGGCCCCCGGCCACTTCAGCCGCTCCTCGAACCTCGAGGGCTGGTACCAAAGCTGTCTCAAGAACAACGGATACTCCTCCAACTCGAGTGCGGGCACTCCCGGGGCGGACGGGTACGACCTGCTGGCACGGCTGCTCGAGTACGACCCCACCAAGAGGATCACAGCCCAAGAGGCACTGGAGCACCCGTACTTCCGCAATGGCGGCGCCATCTCGGCCAACTGCTTCGAGGGGTTCGAAGGCAAATACCCCCACCGCCGGGTCACGCAGGATGATAATGACATCCGGTCCGGCAGCCTGCCCGGCACCAAGCGGAGTGGACTGCCGGACGATACATTGATGGGGCGAGCAGCGAAACGCCTGAAGGAGTGATCCTACCGCATCCACTTCAGTCTGAATATCGTGAAATATAGTCTCTGCATATGGGCATGGCGTTCAGGTTGCTGTAATCAATATCAGGTGCGAGATACATAGCAACACATTTAGATGAAATACAATATAAGCACAGTGTACAACCTGCACTGCAATTCGAGCGTCTGTGCCCACCGTGGCGCGACGCCCTCGTAGATCAAGCAAAGAGTATACAGACACTATTGAACCGAATTGTTCTTGAGAGATAATTAGATAAATAGATAGATAGTCAAAGATAAATGAACTGCTCCGATTTGCAAACCAACCACGCCATTCCCTTTCAATTGTGCCATTTTCCTAATCATGAGTCCTAAACATATATCCCATACATCCTGCGACTATTAGACCTCATAAGTCCCCAGCCCAACACATATCCAACCGAATATATCGAATAGATATCAAGACTAAGCTCAGTAACCTACAACCCCACAGAATTAGCAACCACACGAACAATCAACTGAAAATCTAAGAAAAAAGATCGGGGCGGAGGAGAGGGAAAACATACCATTCTGCTCCCGCCGACTATCCCCATCCTTCCCGTCACTACCACCACCATCACCAGAAGAAGCCTGGCCCGCGGCCGCCGCCTCCCGGATATGCTGGTCATCGCCGCGCAGCTTCTCGAAGTAGGCCTTGATATCCTCGGCGGAGACGGCGGTGCCGCTCTCGGCGAAGGGCTTCAGGAACTCCTTGACCCGGTCGCGGAGGTGATTGTAGACCATGGCGCCCTCGATGGCGCGCACGCGGTCGATGTTGCTGAGCGCCGCCTCGCCGCGGTCGAGCAGGCTGCCCGTGCCCGTGCTGCGGGCGCCGTCGCCGTGGTGGTGGTCCCCGTCCTCCGACACGGGCGGCTCGTAGGCCTCTTCCTCCTCGCGGAGTTGCGGGTGCGCGGCGAGGGTGTGCGGGTAGCAGTCTGGGCAACGGCAGAAATGGTCGCGGAAGGTTTCGGTGAGGAAGAGGGAGAAGGTCTGGCGGGGTGGGGTGGTGGGGAGGGTGGTGTGTTTCGGGGCGGTGGGTTGGTCGGGTTGGAGTTGGGAAGAGGTGGAGGGTGGAGCGGCGTTGTTGCTTGGTGCTGTGACGGTGTCGGTGTTGGTGCCGGTGGGTTCGGACGTCTCCTCGTCCTTGATGCGCTTCGCAGAGGGCTCGGCTGCGGGTTGTGGTTCAACGTCGTCGTCGTCGGCTTTGCGTTTCTTGGAGTTGAGGGTAGGCTCAGACTGTGCGCTGGTGGCGGTGGGGCTGATTGGTTCTGCAGTCGTCGGTTCTTTGTCTGTCGTTTCGGCAGGTTTGGCTTCGCATGCGACTGGTTTGGCCAGTCCACCTTCTTTGAACACCGGGGGAAGGAAGCCGGTTGTCCCCGCGTAGCGCTTCAACCACGGATTTGAGTCAACGCATTTGTAGCAGATGAACATGTCGAAGTCACCTTCGTCAGGGAACCCGGGTGGGAGGGGCGTCTCCTCGTCGTCATCATCATCAGGTTCGTCGTTTTGGTTGTTGTTGTTGTTGTCGTCACCATTATCCGCTACTATCGCATCCTCAGCTTTCACATCTTGCTGCTTCTCCTTTTCCTGCTGCTTCGCAGTTTTGTACCAGTCGCGCGAAAGCCCGATCAGGCACTCTGGATGCCACCAGTCCTCGCCGCAGCCGCCTGTCTCGACCGTCCCCACACCCAAACACTGGAACATTGTCCCTCGCTCCTGATTGGGGTCATAGTCCTCGTTGCAGCCGCAGAACTTATTCTGGAAGTTGTGGTTGTATTTATTGCCCGAATGGGGTTCTTCGGAGTGGACGCCTCTCGCGCCGGTCTGCGGGTCATTGCGCAGCGTACAGGGCGAGGTCGATGGCATTCGGGTCGTCCCGCAGTCGCAGACAAAGTTGCGCTTGCTGAACAGCTCGACCAGATTGTGCTCCCCGTGGCAGGCGATAGAGCAGGAATAGCATACGGCGGCTGGTGTGTATGATGCATTATCGTCGGAGGAATCGGTGGGAGGGGGGTTACAGGTGAGGCAGGCGAAGAGGGATTGTCGGAGGGGACCTAGAGCTTTGGTGCAGGTGTCGAAGGACTGCGCCTGTCAGTACAGGTTGTAATATGCGACAGTCGATCCATCGTCGTCAGGTTGTAAGGTTGGGATTAGAAGGGCAAGCTCACGTAGGGAAGGATCTCGCGCGCGTCAGCTTCGAGGCGAATTTGGGACTCGATAAACCTGACGGACACGACTCGTCAGTACTCGTCTATCTCATTTTTGCAAAATTTCCGACAGCGTATGCCGTGCGAAAAGAAGCGAAAACCTCACTGTCTGGCAGTCTGCGAGTTCTGGGAGCTGAAGCTTTCGCGACGGTTGGTGGCATCCTGGGCGTCGTTCGGCGGCCCATTGCTGGGGGCTGGTTTGGATGCCTCTGAATCGGCCATGTTTTTGTGTCTGAGTTGCGGTGGGTCGTCTCGTGGATCAGCGGAGAGTGAGACTTGTTTAGCTGAAGCAGAGGGCTGTGGTAAAGTAAATGGTATTGTCGTTCTGCTCAGCCTTCGAGGAAGCTCGAAGCGCGCGGCGCAAGGCGATTTAAGTGTTTGCCTCGTTTGCATGACCTCACCTCTGCTGCTCGATGACGGCTACTCGGAACAATTACTTGAAGCTCATATCACTTGCCAGATGATGGCTTTACTGCAAGAGAAGGTATGAGCTTAACATCCCGAATCCAACACAGTACCTCGAAGCAATGTAGTTGATATGTACCGTACTGCAGTACTGTGTGCGAAGTCCCTGCTACTGTGGAATGATGCGGCAGCACCGCAATATCCAAACCATTCGACTCAACCTTGTAGCCAAGAGAGTTAATCCAACTATACTATGTACGATTTAATGCTCTAGTTTCTTCTCCCGTCACTTCTGGGTACCCATAATGTTCTAGACGGTATAATTATAGGTACAGTACGGAGTCCTGAGCCGGAGAGTGTAGACTAACGCCTGTCTGGGTGGCGCTTTTCTTTCCCGATCGGGGGTTAATTGGTTTTCGGACGCGTTTGGGTCGCGCTCCGACGCGTTTCTGCCGCGCATCAACACCGCCTGATGGATTTCCCTGCCAACGGATGAAAAAAAGGCGCCCGCACTACAACCTCCGTGCGGTAATCCCTTCAATCCCACCCCCATACTGCCGGTCAGAAACACCAGACACAATGAGGTATGTTTACTCCATCGATACTCGGATGATCTCATCTTCGATCGCTTTTCTCCCGAATCCTCTTTCACTGATAATCATCATGTCCCTTAAGTTCACCACTACGCCCAAGCCATTCCGCCGCAAATCGCGGCCTAGGAAACCTCGGTCGACGCAAGAGAGACAGAGAACCCGATGATGAGACTTCATCGGTCGCCCCTCCTTCGAGTCGTAAGTCTCACATGCTTCGATTGTCCGCTACCGGCAATGCGTGCATGCTAACTCTTCCCACAGCTCCCCCTTCTTCCCCTCCTATGCTCCCTTTCGACGAGGATGACAATGAGGGAGATGAAGAGGCTGACATGCTGGGCGATATCGACGATCTTGATGAGATGGCCGAAGATGAAGATGGCATTGACTTGTTCGGCGATACCTTTGAGAAAGATTACAGAAGCACACAAGACCAGCAATACCGCGGAACGTACATCGACGACGACGGCGACCATGAGGAGCTAGATATGGCCACTCGTCGTCAGCTGGAAGCTCGCTTGAACAAGAGAGATCGGGAACTGGAGCGCCGTCGCCGCATGCCTGCCGCCTTTTTGCAGGACGATGAAGATGCCGAAGTCGATCTCACTCGCCAGCCCCGTCGGCGCAGACACCACTATGACGAGGATCGGGATGACGTTGAGATGGGCGACGATGTCATGGAAGAGCTCTCCCTGGAGGAGTTGACCGACGTCAAGGCCCCGAACATCACCGACTGGGTTCTCCAGCCTCAAGTCCTGCGGTCCATCTACCGCGAGTTCAAGGCGTTCCTTACGGAATTCACCGACCCTACTGGTAGTTCCGTCTACGGTAACAAGATTAAGACTCTTGGTGAGGTGAACTCCGCATCGCTTGAGGTCAGCTATGTGCACCTCCTCAACACCAAGGCTGCTCTTGCATACTTCCTCGCCAACGAGCCCACCGAGGTGTTGAAAGTCTTCGATCAAGTTGCCCTCGATGTGACTCTGTTCCACTACCCGCAATACCACGACATCCACAACGAGATTCATGTCCGGATCACGGACCTCCCCGTCATTTACACTCTCCGCCAACTCCGTCAGTCCCACCTCAACTGCCTGCTGCGTGTCAGCGGTGTCGTCACTCGCCGCACTGGCGTCTTCCCTCAGATGAAGTATGTTATGTTCATTTGCGGGAAGTGTAGGACGCACCTGGGTCCCTTCCAACAGGAAGCCAGTGCGGAAGTCAAGATCACATTCTGTCAGAACTGTCAGGCCAAGGGACCTTTTACCGTTCACTCCGAGAAGACAGTGTACCGCAACTACCAGAAGTTGACCCTGCAGGAATCCCCTGGCTCTGTCCCCGCCGGTCGTCTCCCCCGCCAGCGCGAGATCGTTCTTCTTGCCGATCTCATCGACTCGGCCAAGCCTGGTGATGAAATCGAGGTTACCGGTATCTACCGCAACAGCTACGATGCGCAGCTCAACAACAAGAACGGATTCCCCGTCTTCGCCACGATCATCGAGGCCAATCACATCGTCAAGTCCCACGACCAGCTGGCTGGTTTCCACCTGACGGAAGAGGATGAGCGAGAAATCCGCGCTCTGTCCAGAGACCCTGAGATTGTCGACAAGATCGTTCGCTCGATTGCCCCCAGTATCTACGGTCACCTGGACGTCAAGACCGCCATCGCGCTGTCCCTCTTCGGTGGAGTCAGCAAGCAGGCCCAAGGCAAGATGTCCATCCGTGGAGATATCAACGTGCTGCTGCTCGGTGACCCCGGTACCGCCAAGTCCCAGTTCCTGAAGTACACCGAGAAGACGGCACACCGAGCTGTATTTGCCACGGGTCAGGGTGCTAGTGCAGTCGGTTTGACGGCCAGTGTCCGGCGTGACCCTTTGACCAGCGAATGGACGCTGGAAGGAGGTGCTCTCGTGTTGGCGGACCGCGGTACCTGCCTGATCGACGAGTTCGACAAGATGAACGACCAGGACCGGACCTCGATCCACGAGGCCATGGAACAGCAGACGATCTCCATCTCCAAGGCCGGTATTGTCACGACGCTGCAAGCGCGCTGTGCCGTTGTGGCCGCCGCCAACCCGATCGGCGGCCGCTACAACAGCTCCGCCCCGTTCTCGCACAACGTCCAACTCACTGAACCCATCCTGTCTCGTTTTGACATTCTGTGCGTGGTCCGCGACTTGGTTGACCCCACCGAGGACGAGCGCCTGGCCAACTTCGTCGTGGAGTCGCACTCGCGCGCCAACCCCTCCCGCCCTCTCCGCGACGAGGACGGCAATCTGGTCAACGCAGACGGCCACCCCATCGACGAAGATGGCTACCGCATCAACAAGAAGACCAAGGAACGCCTCCCACCCACCCAGGAGGAGCTTGCCGCACGCGAAGCCGAGGCCCGCAAGCGCGAGGAGGAGAAAGAGGGTGAGATCCCGCAAGAGCTGCTCCGCAAGTACATCCTGTACGCCCGGGAACGGTGCCACCCGAAGCTCTACCAGATCGACCAAGACAAGATCGCCCGTCTCTTTGCCGACATGCGCCGTGAGTCTCTGGCCACGGGAGCATATCCTATCACCGTACGCTTTTCCTTCTTCTCTGAAACAGTCAGCACAACAAACTAACATCAACCCCCCAACAGGTCCGTCACCTCGAAGCCATCATGCGTATCGCCGAATCCTTCTGCAAGATGCGTCTCTCGGAGTATTGTTCCGCCCAGGACATCGACCGCGCCATCGCCGTGACCGTCGACTCGTTCATCGGCAGTCAAAAAGTCAGCTGCAAAAAGGCTCTTTCTCGTGCATTCGCCAAGTATGTTGCCCTTTCCCGGTACAAGGTACAAGTTAGGAAGAACATAATCACTGACCCAATTCCTCTCCAACTAGGTACACCCTCTCCCGACCCAAGCCGCAATCCCGTCGCAAAGCAGGCATCCCCGCCCCGGACCCATTCCGCCCGAGAATGTCGTCCGTTCGGCCCCGGTAGAGGGCCTGCTTTCGATGTTAATCGTCCGTAGGATTCCCGCATGTCTTGTCTTTCCTTCTCCTTCCCTCCCCTCCCCTTCACAAATCCGGGGCTGCATATAAGGAAAAGAAAGCTTACAGCGAGGGTATCTCCACGGCACAGCACCTCCTTCTCTTTTTTCTCTTCTTTATTTCCCTGCGGGGTTCAAAGTATGGAATACCCGGACACCGGGATGAAACGATCTATCGATGTTATCAACAAGTTCTTGGGGCAACGTTTTGCATTTCTCAGTTTCACTGTCATGAATTTTCCTAGTATGCGTGCGGCGAGGGGGAGTTCGGGTCTCTGATTCATTAGGGAAATAGGGGGGTCTTGGTCTTTTATCTTATTTTTTTGTTGAAATATCTGTGATGCGATGTGATGTGATATGGAAAGTATTCCCCGGAGAAGAGCAGACATATACCTACCTTAGTTAGTTACCTTATTCATCAACTTATTAAATCTTCTTCTTATCCTCAGAGTTCAAGCTACACCGAATAAGTATCCACCTCGCAGCAGGAAAGTTGGAAATGTGTAGATTGACATCGCAAGGCGCGATGTTTTACCAGATAAGGGGGAGTGGAGGTGTGCGCACAGTACTCAATTGTCAAGCGGAAGATTGTCTTGTCCAACAAATCGTAATGTACTGTACGCGGAGGGCCATCCTGTGCACCTTGGCAAAGGAAAAGTATTTCCTGTAGTGCTGAAGACCCCCTAGGGTGTAGTTTCATAGTTATCACCCCCAGCGCCAGCAGAGAATAACATGTGGTGATAAGAAGAGAGTATCAAGGTAACTACATAAGCTGCAGGATGCTTGATTGTGGATGTCTCCATGCAGAAGCGGGTAAACATGGGCAACAATTGGAGATAGGGAGTAGTGCTTCAGCGAAACTTTGCATCTTCATTTTGGCTAAAAGCTAGGAAAGGACTTGACAAGAACATAATCGCTGCAAGGGGCAACACCAACTGGGAACGTTGGCAGAAGGGTTAACTGGATTGGGAAAGAGAGGAAGTAATAAGAAATCCATGTTTGTTACTTGCTTGGCAGACAAGGCCAGTACAGTACATCCGGACACCCTGATCAACCGCTTTCATCTGACTGATGTAATACATACACTCTTCAACAACAAAGATAACCTCCACCTCTTCGCCAACACCGGTCTCGCTCGATGAGGCTGAGGCCACGCCGTCATCTGCTATCTCGCGTTGCTCATGGATGGTCGCGCTCGAAGATTGCCGTCTCTTTCAAGTTACGTCAGTCTATTGGGTCTCATGCTTCCTTAATGGTTCCATTTCATCAACGCTCTCATGCTGTCATTTCC